ACTATTAAGTACGTAGTTCTAAGGACGGTGTACGAACTCGTCTAGACGATACGTACGTGTGTGTACGTCGTGTGTGCGCGCGCGTGTGTGTGTGTGTGTGTGTGTGTGTGTGTGTGTGTGTGTGTGTGTGTGTGTGTGTGTGTGTGTGTGTGTGTGTATGTGTGTGTGTGTGTGTGTATGCGTATGCGTGTGTGCGTGTGCGTGCGGGTGCGTGTGTGCGTGTGCGTGTTGGCGTGCGTGTGTGACCGTTTGCGTGCGAGTGCGTGTGTGCGTGTGCGTGTCTGTGTGTGTACGTATACGTGTCTGTATGTGTGCATGCATGCATGCGTGCGTGCGTGCGTGCGTGTGCCGTGTGGGCATAACTCTATCGTCTGCGCTATACCTCAAGCAGGCCGCAGACTCCCGCTACCAGCGCGTCTGCGGATCCACGGCAGATGAGAGGTGCTATCTACGCGCCGCATACGCCGACTACAGCGCTCTGCCTCGGTGTTTATAACACCGCCGCCGCCGCAAGAGCCCGCAGTGCGTGAGGGAGCGTGTGCGTGTATACTGTTGCTGTTTGCTGCTGCTGTTGCTGTCTGCTGCCGATACTTGATACCGGGTGAGGAGGCAGGAGAAACATAGAGAGAAGAGGCTTTAGCATTGTGTTCACTATCATCAGCGTTCTTGGTCGATTTTAGTAACTGGTGGATGAGAAACATCGAAGAATCTTCGCTGCTTGCTTCATTAACCGCGGGAAAGATGTGAAGGACGTCGGAGGAACTTTGAGTAATATCGAAGAACCTTCGGCGTTTTGTTCACTGCCGTCGATCCACATACTCTCTCGATTGAGGGGTCAATGTGCGAGGAACGTCGAGGAACACAGCCGAGAAACGTTCGCCGCTGCCTTCATTATCGCGAAATATAGAAACTGGAACAGTTCAGTTGAGACGACTTGCCGAGGAACTGTTGCAGGAATCTCTCTCCGAATTCCACGTGAATTTTCTCTGAGAACTACGGGATAATTAAGCTGGAACATCTACAGCTACGCTCATAAGCCTATGATGTGTGCCAATGCCATAACGGGCGAGAAGACTCTCTGAGGATCACGGCATCGGCTCTACTCTGTGCCATAGGGAGAGAGAACGAGAGATAGGTAAATAAAGGGCGAGGGAGAGAGGATAAGCAAGAACATCAGAGCATCAAGGAGAGTCACATTGAGAAAGAGAAAAAGAGCGAAAGAGAGAGAGAGAGAGAGAGAGAGAGACAGAGAGCGAAAAGGGGAGAGAGCGCGCGCAAAAGAAAGCGAGAAGATAACGAGAGAGAGAGAGAGAGAGAGAGAGAGAGAGGGAGAGAGAGAGACGACGATGAGCACGCAGACGAGAAGAGAGCACGAGAGGAAGCAGAGCAGAGAGAAGAGCCACGAGAAGTATAGAGAGAGAGACGAGACGGAGAGTGACAAAAGAAGAAAGAAGAGACGCCGAAGAACAGAGCAGAAACAACCAAGATACGAGAGCCACAAGAGCAGAGTAGCACCTGAAGCACGCACGAGGAGAGCAGACGAGGAGAGAGACGAGAGAAAGACGCACGAGAGACGAGAGGAGAGAGAGCCACTCGAACCGCCGCTGACGAGAGAGATAGAGAGAAGGTGCAGAGCTAGCCTAGCATCATAGTGCCGTGGATGCCCAACACGCTGCTGTTATAAATCGTAGCTGAGCTGCAGGCTCGCGTAACCCGAGCGCATCCACGCACGTTTGTTTGACAACGAGGCAAAAACCATTCTACAGGCCAGGCTGCCGTCTTCTCTCTCTCTCCTGAGCATCTATCTCTCCTTGCTTGATGCGAAGCAGCGGAGGCAGAGCTGAAATCATATCCGCGTCCGTTCTCGATAGGGAACGAGCTAGGGCCGACGCTCGTGAGAGGCATCTCGTCGCTGGTCGCCCCGGCAACAGGAGTGAAATACCCCAGCAGCATCAACGTCATCAAAGTGCGAAGGAAACATCGTTGCGTTGGTGACGACTTTGCCTATATATTGTCTATATTGTATTTGGTTCTCGCTGCCGCCGTTACAACTACGTACCCGATAGCACGTCGGCCATTCTTTCACCAGTGCCTATCTACGTGTTTGTGTTTGCGGTTTACATGCCGGAGCAGGCCAGCTGGCCAGGCGATCGGTGGAGACAGGGATCTGCGGAGTGGTAATAACCGCCCGTGGTGAGCTTGGCTGGTGAGAAGCGTACTACGTTGTTGGATAGGTTTTTGGCAGACGAGCGCGAATCAGTGCTAACGGCGCACTACGATCACTACCCACATATCGTGTGGGCTAGCAGTTTGTGCATGTGCGTGTGTGTGTGTCACCAGTGTCGCCGGGCTTAGAACGCATCCAGCCATTATACAGCCGCCGAGAAAACTACAGCACTACCTACACGACCCACAGACGTAAGCAAGCGCGCACGTACGCACGCACACACGTACGTAGGAACTGATGGCGAAGATGAAGGTTGAGACGGAGAACAACAACAACGTTGTCGTCGTCGCGCCGTCGCACACCGCCGACGACTTCCTCCACCAGGCCGACGACCTTCCGATGGACGCCGACATCACTTCCTCGATCACGTCCGGCGAATCGAACTGCTCGACAGGCGTCGGCGCATCTTACGTCACGAGCACCGAGCCGCGTCTGACGACGACTGCCGACGTCGCTGCTGCCGACGTTACTCTCAACGGATTCTCCGCGAAGACACGCGGAAAACGCTCGAACGCTGCGAGCCTGAGTAAAGCCCGCATGGCGGCGAACGCCCGCGAGAGGGCGCGCACGCAGAGCGTCAACACCGGCTTTTCGGCGCTGCGCACGCTGATACCGACGGAGCCGGCCGACCGGAAGCTGTCGAAAATCGAGACTCTGAGGCTCGCCGTCAGCTATATAGCGCATCTAGAGACGGTATTGTTGGTGAGCGAGATCGAGGACGAGGCGGCGGCCGATCAGCCGTGCATACGACACGCCGACACGTTGTCGCGCGTGCGACAAGCGACGGCGTCGGCGGGGACGACACCGCACGTCGTCATGCAGCCGTCGCTGTGCACGTTCTGCCTCAGCTCGAAAAACGTGAGTATATATGCGTGCGAGATCTGTGTGAGTGTGCGTGCGTGCGTGCGTGCGTGCGTGCGTGTGCGTATGTGTGCGCGTGTTTACGCGTGCGCGCACGTGCGTGCCCAATTATATGCATGTGTACCGTGTGTGTGTGTGTATGCATGCGCGCACGTGCGTGCCCAATTATATGCATGTGTACCGTGTGTGTGTGTGTATGCGTGCGCGCACGTGCGTGCCCAATTATATGCATGTGTACCGTGTGTGTGTGTATGCATGCGCGCACGTTCGTGCCCAATTCTGTTCGCGTGTTCGTGCGTGTGTGTATGTAAGCGTGCGTGCATGTTTGTGTCCATAAATGTGCGTGTGTGGGTGCGTGTGAGTATGGATAGAGCTGCAGCCTTGCATTTGCAAACATTGAAATGTAGGTATTTTTGCGAATCGATAACTTGAAAATATATCACGTGTATTTATCGGTGATATATAGCGCCCTCTATACTGCACCATATACTGACTCATTTGATAAACTCGATAGGTCTAGATAGAAACAACGATTGACACATTCACATTAGCAAAACCGTGTCAACGAAAAGCTTCACGACGCCTAATTTTCTATCACGTGAATATTGTCGCTATCGAGCGATTGACAAAAAGTTTTTACGCAATTTGTTCTTAGTTTTAGTTCACAATGGTTAAGCCATAACGCGTTGAACGTGAACGTGAAGAAACTGTTTACATAGTTTCTTAGCATCTTGTCTGTACCCGACCACTGATCTCTACTATACTAAGTTAGTATAGTAGAGATCAGTGGTACCGGCCAATCACTGCAGCAGCACCACGCGTCACCTGACCGAGTTATCGGGCTCAAAAATTACGGATTACCTTAATTTAACCCTTTGTGACGACTCATAATATGAGTCTATTGACATAATATCGTAAATTCTGCATAAATTTTAATTACTGAGCTCGCAGTACATGGCGCAGTACACATCTCAGTGCATATATATAGATATACATACATACCTGTATCAACGCTGTATAGCAGATAATATTGCATTGAACCGATCGCTCCTATATCTATCATTACCTATAACCATGTAACCTGTATATCTACTTATATTTCCTATATATCTACATATATATCCTATATACCTATTTTATGTATCCTGCGACGATGGTGGATAGATCCTGATGGATAAAAACGAATGTTTATTTTTACTTACTCCTGATCGATGTGGCTTACACATCTACCCATGTATCTAAAAAACCCAAGACAACGAGATTTATAGCTCTAGGTAAGCATGCACGTAAATATAAATATAGCAATCGACTGACAAATGTGCGATTTTGCGGAACTCGATCGTCTCAATGACTCAAATGATTCAAAGGAGTTAAAGTTCAAAAGGTTCTCAAGGAGTTAAATTTCATGACCACACACTTCACAATGCATAAATGCAGAATTATCATTAAAAAAATGTGAAGGGGTAGCAATCAACCATTGTGATTAGTATTACAGCTACATATTCCCCATTTATACTATGTAAAATGACAAGATATAAAGGCCTTAATCCTTTCAGAGATTAGCAAGTAGAAATAATTTTAGTAACTTCAACTCTCCCACGCTGGCTAACCTTCTTACTATTCCACTGAATCGTGTTTTGTTAGGTCGCGATAATCGAATAGCTCAGTCATTTTTATCCATTGACAAGTTTTCGAAATTCCAAGTCCAATTTTAATTCTGACTCTGTATCGTGTGGATATCGCAGATTGTCGTCAGTATTCAATATATTATAGCAAAAGATCATAGTCAACATAAATATGCTTGGCATGTCATTCTCGGTGTAATAATGATTCGCTGCATACTCGCCGTGCATTTTATGACACGTTCACTGCGGTTCTATTTATTGTTTTTATCGTCTTTCTCGTTGGTCGATTTTATCGTATTTTTCTTGTGGTGTCAACGAGGAGGAGTTGCGAAACACGCATCCGCGTAAAAATACGTTTTTACAATTAATAAAAAATATCCGATCCCTCCAGCCGTTGCACGTGTTCGCTACCGCAGCGGAATGCCGACTTTATGTCATATTCTCGTGTCGTATAAAAAACGTGAACTACCGCGCTGCAGACAAAGAACGACAAGAGTGTCCGTGTCCGGGGCTAACCGGGATCGATGACTTTACAAGGGTCCGATGTCACCGGGCCGGGAGGGTATATGGATCAGTGGAGGTATACGACTTGCACTATAGGCCTACACCAGTCCCCGCCACCGACTAACGCTGAAAATATCACTAGGCTTGAGCGCGGTACCATAAGATCCCACCATGCACGCCGGCATATTAACATTTACTAGGCCCCTGGCAATATAATTTTCGTAATGTAATACAATGCGATGCTAACTTGTGCAATATACGAACGACGTCGCGCACGTTGTAAACGTATTCTCAATTGCGCGTGTCTATAGTTATGCCATGTGTCTGTCGCTCACATACACCCGGCTGCTGGCTACTGTCATTTCTAAACCATAAAAGCTATTTTTTTTATCAACTATTAGGCAGTTTATACGCCATCACAATAATTTTTCTTCTGTTTTTTTTTCTTCTTCTTCTCCTTCTTCTTCTTCTCTTTTTTCTTCTTCTTCTTTTTGTTATTATTATGTGGATTGCATCAATAGATTAGCTAGCTCCATTAGGAGTTTCCAATCTAATTATATCGTGTTTCAACGACACTAATTAAGATTGCGTAGACAATCGCTAGCTCTCGCCATCCAAGCAGTGTAGATGCACGTGATGTTGCACGCAGCGGAGGAGCATCACCAGCATCCCGATTCCCGACACTATTCGACTGTTTACCCTTAATAGTCACAGTTCGTAAACCAAGGAGGACCCTTCTCGATTTTCCCGCGGAAAAGGGTGGCCAGCGTTTGTCGTTGCATCTTAGACTGGTACCGTCGTAGAGAATCAATTATGGGATAGGCCACATGGGAAGGTTGGAATCAGTCTTGTCGAGTACGTGACGTTGACACCGATTCCCCTGTTTATCTATTGATGCTAATTAGACTCCCTGTCTCTATCTCTGAACACTCCCGCTTCTCCCTCTCTCACACTCTCTCTATCTATCTATCTACCCTATGCTCTCTGTCTCTCTCACTCCCTTCCGCTGCCCCTCTCTCTTTCTTTCTCTCTCTGGTCCCCCTTCTCTTTTGCTAGCTCTCTGTCGTGCGCGCGCTCTCTCTTCGGGTGGCCACTGTCCACTCTGCCCGTCAGCGTGGCCGGGTCTGGTGGCCACACTGTCCACGCTGTCAGTCAGCGTGACCTGGTCGGGTGGCCACTGCATGTCCACTCTGTCAGTCAGCGTGACCTGGTCGGGTGGCCACTGTCCACTCTGTCAGTCAGCGTGGCCGGGTCGGGTGGCCACTGTCCACTCTGCCCGTCAGCGTGACCGGGTCGGATGACAGATGGCAGTCGGCGTCCCGCTGCCTCGGCGCACAGCGCGTCTGCGTTACGTGTCTCAGCAGTTCGTTATCACCAACGATCATCTCCCATGACCACCACCGCTCCCCCGCCTACCCTGCCGCTCAGCGCCCGCGGATCGCGCAACGACGCCGGCTGAAACCGGGAGCGAGCTGCAGGGTGGCCGGGAGAGAGCGCGCGCCCCCCTGCGGACTCTCCGGTGATGACTGCAGGCAGCTGTAGCGGTTTAGCGCGACACAGTGATACTTGGTCGGCGCGCAGCGTGGCTTGTTGTGTCTCGCTCGCCGGAGTGCTGCTACATTTACTTTTACTACAATCACGGCGAAGTGTAGGGTTACGCGGCGCTACCGAGTTTTTTTACTCTTCTTCTTCTCCTGCTGCTGCCGCATCTTCCTCGCTTCTCCTTTGCGCACTTCCCTGTTACTTATGGTGTGTATTCTGTTTCATAATTCGATTCAAATTCATTCGATGCGTGAATCGAATGATTCGATGCATCATTCGATGCATCATTCGATTCACGCATCGAATCATTCGAGGCCAGGCGAGCAGGCGGGCAGGCCAGGCAAGCTGGCAGGCAAGCAGGCAGGCAGGCAGACAG